TCCGCAGGGCGGCCGGGCGCACCCTTAGAGATAGGGTGAGGAGCTCGGTCACCAGGCGCACCCTTAGAGTAGAACCGCAGCTCCTCCACATCGAGAGGAGCCAGCTGAGGCGGCTCGGGCATCTGTTTCGGATGCCTCCTGGGCGCCTTCCTAGGAAGGTGTTCCGGGCATGTCCCACCGGGAGGAGGCCCCGGGGAAGACCCAGGACACGCTGGAGGGACTATGTCTCTCGGCTGGCCTGGGAACGCCTCGGCATTACCCCGGAGGAGCTGGAGGAAGTGTCTGGAGAGAGGGAAGTCTGGGCATCTTTGCTTAGACTGCTGCCCCCGCGACCCGGTCCCGGATAAGCAGAGGAAAATGGATGGATGGATGGGTTTATTTATTTTGGAATAATATTGTATCCTGTCTGTTTTGATTCATATTTATGTTCAAACAACGTTTAGTTTTAGTCTGTTCAATAATTTTTTATCCTGTTCAGCCCGCAACCTAATGTGTGCTTTGAGTTCTGAATAGGATTCTGAATAGGATTTAGGTCTGGACTTTGACTGGGCCATTCTAACACATGAATATGCTTTGATCTAAACGATTCCATTGTAGCTCTAGCTGTATGTTAAGGATCGTTGTCCTGCTGGAAGGTGAACCTCCGCCCTAGTCCCAAGTCTTTTGCAGCTTCTAACAGGTTTTCTTCCAGGATTGCCCTATATTTAGCTCCATCGTTCCATCAACTCTGACCAGCTTCCCTGTCCCTGCTGAAGAAAAGCATCCCCACAGCATGATGCTGCCACCACTATGTTTCACGGTGGGGATGGTGTGTTCAGGTTGATGTGCAGTGTTAGGTTTCCGCCACACATAGCGTTTTGCATGTAGACCAAAACGTTCAATTTTGGTCTCATCTGACCAGAGCACCTTCTTCCACATGTTTGTTGTGTCCCCTACATGGCTTGTAGCAAACTGCAAACAGGACTTCTTATTGCTTTCTTTCAACAATGGCTTTCTTCTTGCCACTCTTCCATAAAAGCCATATTTGTGGAGTACACAACTAATAGTTGTCCTGTGGACAGATTGTCCCACCTGAGCTGTGGATCTCTGCAGCGAGTTATCATGGGCCTCTTGGTTGCTTCTCTGATTAATGCTCTCCTTGTCCAGCCCATCAGTTTAGGTGGATGGCCATGTCTTGGTAGGTTGCAGTTGTGCCATACGCTTTCCATTTTTGGATGATGGATTGAACAGTGCTCCATGAGATGTTCAAAGCTTGGGATATGTTTTTATAACCTAATCCTGCTTTAAACTACTCCACAACCAGTGGTGATCTGTCTGGTGTGTTCCTTAGTCTTCATGATGTTGTTTGTTCACTAATGTTCTCTAACAAACCTCTGAGGCCATCACAGAACAGCTGTATTTATACTGAGATTGAATTACACACAGGCAGCACAGTGGCGCAGTGGTTAGCACCGTTGCCACACAGCAAGAAGGTTCTGGGTTCGGGCCCCACCTGGGACCTTTCTGTGTGGAGTTTGCATGTTCTCCCCGTGCTTGCGTGGGTTCTCTCCGGGTACTCCGGCTTCCTCCCACAGTCCAAAGACATGCAGCTTAGGTTGATTGGTGTCTCTAAATTGCCCATAGGAGTGCGTGTGTGGTTGTTCGTTTATGTGTTATGTGCTATGGATTGGCGACCTGTCCAGGGTGTACCCCACTTTCGCCCAATTGCCGGCCGGGATTGGCTCCGCCCCCCCCATGACCCCGTTCAGGGACTAAGTGGTAGAAAATGAATGAATTACACACAGGTGGGCTCTATTTACTAATTGGGTGACTTCTGAAGGCAGTTGGATGCACTGGAATTTACTTAGGGATATGAAAGTAAAGGGGGCTGAATACATATGCATGCCACACTTTTCAGATTTTTATTTGTAAAAAATCTTGGAACACCACATATCATTTTCCTTCATAATTATGCAATACTCTGTGTTGGTCTATCACACAAAATCCCAATAAAATACATTTAAGTTTGTGGTTGTAATGTGACAAAATGTGGAAAAATTCAAGGGGTATGAATACTTTTGCAAGGCATTGTATGACTGCTGTGGAACTATTGATTATTCCAGTGCAACAGCTCTGTTAGTTCTGGTCCAGTGAAGGTGTGTACAGTTCAGGTATCTGACCTCGGATCTACTCACAGCTGACAGGTATATCATGACTGGGCCAGCTGGATTTTAACATTAACACAGTATTCTGCAACATTTTTATTTACTTATGTTGGCTCATCTCCTTTGATAACACTGTCTATAGTGTTTTTGTTGTGCAGTCTGTTTATTGTTCTAAATTTTGATATTGCCACCTGCAGAAGCCAAATTGTCAAGAGTAACAGTCCCACCTATACTGCTTGATTGACGGGTGTTTTCTGGGATGAGTACAGATAAAAATCTGATTTCCCAGATGACCACATGAACCAAACAGAAACATTTACAGTGCCAAATACTAAAAGCACTAACAAAAATCAATCTGTTTGATCAATGTGTGTGGAGTCACTGCTCATGTGTCTGGGTCTATGTGTGTGAGAGTGTGTGTGTGACTCACGCAGGTGCGCAGGCAGCCTAGCAGGCTCATCCTCCATTCGGGTGGCTGGCCTCACATTGGGAGCATGGACGGGAGAGGAAGTAGAGTTTGGCAGCGGGTTTGTAGAAGGACTGAAAGAGCTCCTCTCCTGCTATGAATAGACACAGAGACACAAAGCATGGCTCACAAAGCTCCATGACACTCCGGCCCTGAACCCAAACAACCCCACGTCAACTCACCTCACCATGCACCCACAGCATCAGCTAGCCTTAGTCTCATCTCAACACACTGTATACTCCTCTACACTACTGGGCCAGAAAAAGCGGCACTTGAACCCACCCCCAGACTACAACCAATGGCCAAATATCACATACATTCTGTACTTGTGTGAGAGAAATAACTCCCCCTACCAGCAGGTCGCGGGATCTGTATTCACCATTCAGAAAGGAAAAGAAGAGCTAGACAGTGAAAGCTGTAAACAAAGCAGCCGTCATTTAACACATCTGCTGTTTGTAGCTGCTTCTAATTGAGAATATGTCTGACAATAAATTGCAAATGCATTCTCCACAGAGTCCACAGAAGCAGAATGGGAGGCAGAGCCTTTTGCTATCAAGCTCCTCTCCTATGGAACCAACTCCCAGTCTCAGTTCGGGAGGCGGACACCCTCTCTACCTTTAAGATTAGACTTAAGACTTTCCTTTTGGATAAAGCTTATAGTTAGGGCTGGATCAGCTGACCCTGAGCCTTCCCTTAGTTATGCTGCTATAGGCCTAGGCTGCTGGGGGGCCCCATGATGCTCTGAGTTTCTTTCCCCTCCCCACCTGCTCTCCTCTCCTCTCCTCTCTCTCCCTATGCTTCTATATGCCACCATTACACATCACTAACTTTGTGTCTCCTCTCTCCCGTAGTGTGTCCTCTCTCTCTCCCTGTCTCTATCCACTCACCCCAACCGGTCGAGGCAGAAGGCCGCCCACCAAGAGCCGGGGTCTGTCAGAGGTTTCTTTCGTTAAAGGGAGTTTTTCCTCCCCACTGTCGCCAAGTGCTTGCTCAAGGGGGATTTGTTGGGTTTTCCCTATGTAATAATATTGATAACAGTAAGGTCTAGACCTTACTTTGTAAAGTGTCCTGAGATGACTTTTGTTGTGATTTGGTGCTATACAAATAAAATTTGATTTGATTTGATTCTCTGCCCTTGGTCTATTGGTTGTGGAAGAAGAAAGGAGGTTGTGGAGGTGAAAAACTACATTAAATGTGTGAAAACATGGATATTACAGTGACTCTCCAGTGACCGGCTGAAGGGGCTTTCCCCAAACCGTTCTCTTCTCATGTATTCATTCGCTAAGCTGAACAGACAACCAGTGTGGTCTCTCTCACCAATGACCAACTGTCGGCTTGGTGTGTCACGGCCCTAATAAATTGATCCACCGACCTGAAGACACATTCTGGTAATGCAAATATACAGAATGCAACATGTGTTGCTTTGCACTGCAGTAAAGTCCAAAATTAAGCAATGTGCTGTCTGACAAGATGCTAACTTCACTCATTTGATCTGTAAAATGTCAGAAAATAGTAAAAATGTTCTGGATCTTGAGTCTTTAAATCACTTGTTTTGTCTGACAGTCAAAACACTGTCAGAAAAAAAACATAGAAAAGCAGAAAATATGAAAAAGTTCAACCAGCAAATGATTTAATGTCTTTACTTGGTAAATGATTAGAGCATTTCATCAATAACTCCACTAACTGTTTCAGCACTATAACAGCAAACCCTTTTGATTACTGTGCACAAAATCTGTCTACATGTTAACGCTGACTTCTTACTTTTATTGATAAACTTGTCCATAGTCAAACTGTAAACAATGTCCATCACCAGAGAGAGAGAGAAATATAATACAGCATCTGTCAAACTAGGCATGATGGCTTGATTATCCATAGATGGTGTAGAATCTGATTAATATGTAGGCAGCCACTGCCAACTAAGTGCCTTAGCTTGGTCCGGCAGTCCTACTATATTCATCCAAAAGTAGTTCTGGACATTGTAACAGTCAGCTTCCGCAGTAAACTACAACAAACACTGCTCTACCTGGTGGATATATGTAACACTGCAGGCAGCTTGCACACATGGTGCTTAGGGACATTAACAAGGCGGTGCTGCAATCACTACATCATCGTAGGAGATACATGGGCCATGCACGGACCTGTCACTGCTGGACATGGTTCGACCACGGTCCAGCCAGCAATTTAAGATGGCAGCATCTATAGCACAGCAGCACCAATGGTGGTGTATTTTTCTTGTTCTTCACCAACATGGAAACCCCCGAGTATGTCGAGCGTATGCAGAAGTCGAATGAGCGGAAGTGGAAGGAGCAAGAGAAGAATACATTCTTCCTTTACCACACTGTCATTACAGTCACACATGCATAGGAGAGAGACCTAGTGGGTATTCTTTGTACATCGCTAAACAGATCCTAGATCTAATGAGAAATCCTGGATATTCTAATGCCAGCTAGGCAGTGTTGGGCTCGTTACTCAAAAAATGTAATATATTACTCCTTACTTGTTACTCTTTTCAAAAATGTACATTTTTATTTTACTTACGCATTACTCCATGCAAAAGTAATTCATTACACTACTCGTTATATTACACCCCACAGATTGGTAATATCTTGTAAATGATTTTTTTTTTTTTTACCTAGGGGTCCACAGGTGTCTATGACTGGTATTTTCCCAAGGATATGTCTGAAAGATGGAGAGTTAATAGTAGAAATGGACAACATTTCATCCACCACATATCCAGCCACAAGCTTCATTAATTCTTTGTTGCTTGTTGCCACTTGTTATAGCCTGTTGTGGACGATTAAGAGATTAAGATCCAGTTTTGGTTGTTTAGCCATTGAAGGGCTACAGTCATCCTGCACAGCCACTGAGGGCTCATCTTTTTTGGGGTGTATCTCCATGAGCTTCATATTGTTGTGCTGTCTTAATAAATGTTTCAAGAGGTTTGAGGTTGTGTCTTTTACAGTGGAAAGAGTCTTACTGCTACCTGCACACAATTTACATTTTACAATAATGTTCTTATCACCTTTCATTCTGATAAAATCAAGTATTTCCAGCACTTCCACCTTCCAAGCTAGCTTACTGTTTACGGTGTTGATAAATAATGTTTGCAAGCGGGACTACTATGAATCTTAAATGTCGGATTTCAAATCAATCTTTGCTGTGATGACAACAAAAGTAACATTGTAATGAGTTGTTTTTGGAGGGAGTAACTGTAATATTATTACTGAAATTTTATTTGTAACTTTTTACACTACTTGTTAAAAGAATAGTATTACAGTAATGCATTACTAGTAATGCTTTATGGCCCAACAGAGCAGCTAGGGTTATCCGGATAATTCAGTTCTTCAACACCCATCTGTGTTGTGGACTAGAAAACCTGGATTTAGTTATCCAAGATCAGTGCATGCTCTCATGGTCAGTGACTAGACTTTCTACAGTATACGAACAGCTGAAACTACAATCAGCTGGTTTCTGATTGGCTGTATGCAGTAGAAAGCACACTCTGTCACCATAACAGAGAGAGCTTCTGCTGGAGGGCAGCAAGAATCTAAAGATTTCATTTGGACATAACTGCAAAGGCAGAACTCTGCAAAATGCAGACAGAAGTGGCTAACAAATTAAATGCAGAAGTATCCCATTTAAATACTTAATCTCACCACATGTCCACTGCTTTGAAATGACGGCTTACTTTGTCAAATGTGTAAATATGCTCATACGACCAACAAAGTGACAAGCCAGAGCAGGACAATATACTTACAAAGTTAAAGGAATTCCAGTGCACATAAGATGTCTATATCATCTTCATTTATTAGTAATTGTTTAGATGATGAAATTGTATGCACTCAAATTCCTTTTACTTCATCTCTGCATTATAGGTAGGCTAAGTACAGTACAAGAATATTCAGCAAACTGGTATCACTGTAACATAACATATTACTTTTACTTGTTATTTTTTGTTCATAGCTCTGCCTCAATAATCAAATGACTCTGTGCAGCATTACAGTACTTCTCAATCTTTTCCTACAAACAATTAACAATAATTGTATGTCCTTTTGATGAAAACTGATCATTTTCTTAAACTGTCAAAAAGGATTCCCACTCCTTGCATATTCCAAGTGTTTTTTTTTTCAGGTTAAGTATGAATTCACAGCAGTAAAATGTGCATGAAATGCAGGGGTGAGAATTCACTCGTTATATTTTACCCAAGTTCTTTTATTGAAAGCGTGAGAAGTGAAGACAGGAGAGGACTGTATAAAATCAACTGAAAGTTTACTCAAAGTCTGGGCACAGGTGAAGCCATACAGCGCTGGGATCAGAGCGACAGAGCTCCCGGAGGAAATCCGTTCTCTCAACCATGAGTTACGTTTTCTCATTACATTTATCTTCTTGGGCTAAGCCCGCCCTGGACAGAGGTACAACATTTCACACTTCATAGTCCTATTGGCCATTTGGCGTGAGCAGGTCAACCCCTGCCTGCGTCTACTTGCTGAAATGTGATCTAACCTAGGTGTGTGTGTGTTTCACAGGCAGCACCTTGATCAATGAACACTGAACAATGGGGCTGTCTGAGCTGCAGACCCCCTATCTGTGTAGACTAAAACAGGACCTAGTGAGTATGCTAAACGGATAATCACCTTTATTGACCAAGTATGTTACACACAAGGAATTTGTTTCCGGTACAGAACCTCCTGGTGGGCATGCTTGGGCAGAGATCTCAAAACAGATCTCTGCCCAAACATGCCCACCAGGACGATAGGCGTCGGTCGACAGGGGAGGATTCAAAGACAGGTAACGACTCTCACCGAAACTGGGCTGCAACAACATTGTTGGCCTTCTGAAACACCACTGAGAGGGATAAATATCTCCGGCTCAACACCAGTCAGTCAGAACTGATGAAGCCTCTTGGATGAAAGGTGAAACGTCTTCGACCTAGAAATCTAAGTACAGTTGATTTTTTCTAAATTTTTTTTCAGACAACATATCTTGTTAGACTTTCTAAGAACCAACAGGTCCGGGATCATGAGAAATTGTTAACAAAATTATCTGGCTAACCTGTTAATCCATATACAACAAGAACCCCCCTGTAGTTTTTGA